CTGGAGAGGGCTGGGGACACACCGGATGGGGCAGAGGAGCTCACCAAATCCAGCAACGAGCCAGGTGAGTGTGTGGAGCTGGGCCTGGGGGGTAAAATGGGGAGTTTGGGGTCAGGGACCTGTCCCGTGGCTGAGTCTTGGGACCCCCCCACTCCCTGCTCACCTATTATGGGTGCTGTGCCCCCCATCCCCATGCACCCAAAAATACCTGTTCCATGGGGATGCTCTGTGCTTTGGCCCCAAGGAGTGGCACAGGGGGTACTGGGAGCTGTGTCCCTCACCCCACACCATCCACAGCAGGGCAAAGGCTTCCCCTGCTCTCCAAGCTGGTGGAGGACGCCCTGCAGATCTGCAGCCAGCACCTTGGCAGCCTGAACCATGAGGACATCGACAGGGACTCCTCGTATCCCCGCATGACACAGGCCAACTGGGACCACTTCCTGCAGGGCTACTACCGTGTGGTGCAGTGAGTGCTGAGCGGGACGGGGTGGGGGGTCACCATGGCAGGGCCAGCACTGAGCCCCCCCCTGCATCTCTCCACAGTGAAGGGGCCGAGCTGGTGCTGAGCGAGGCACAGCGGGAGCGGTGCCAGACCCTGCTGCGGTGCCTCGGGGAGCACCTGCCCCAGCTGGACATGGAGGGGGTCTGCAATGTCTGGGTCCTCAAGCCCGGTGCCAAATCCCGTGGTGAGGGTAAGGCCCGGGGAAGCTGGGGGTGCAGGGTCCCTGGCGAGGAAGGGGTCCCACTGTCACCATGTTCCCCCAGGCGTCGTCTGCTTGACGCAGCTGAAGGAGGTGCTGCAGCTGGTGGGGAGCTGCAAGGCCCTCTCGGGACCGCCGAAAGACTGGGTTGTGCAGAAGTACGTGGAGCGGCTGCTGCCCATTTTCAACACCAAATTCGACATCCGGCAGTGGTTCCTGGTGACCAACTGGTCCCCACTGACCGTCTGGTTTTACCGGGACAGCTACCTGCGCTTCTGCTAAATTCGACATCCGGCAATGGTTCCTGGTGACCAACTGGTCCCCACTGACCGTCTGGTTTTACCGGGACAGCTACCTGCGCTTCTGCTCTCAGCCCTTCTCCCTGAGCCACCTGGACTCGTGAGTGCCCCCCACCCTGGCACCCCACACCTCAGCACCCACCAGCACACCTTAACCCAGCCTCGTTCTCTCCACCCCAGCGCTGGCCACCTCTGCAACGTCTCCATCCAAAGGCACTACAGGCAAACACAGAACCTGCACCCCCAGCTGCCCCGCGACCAGATCTGGTCGAGCCGGCAGTTCCAGGCCTACCTGGCGCAGATGGGGCGGGCAGACGCCTGGCAGCAGGTGATAGTGCCGGGGATGAAGGCGGCGGTGTTGGGGGCCCTGCGCAGCGCCCAGGAGCTGGTGAGCTTCCGCAAGGGCAGTTTTGAGCTCTTTGGGGCCGATTTTATCATCGACAAGGATTGCCAGCCCTGGCTGCTGGAGATCAACGTCAACCCCACCATGGCCCCCTCCGCGGTGGTGACCAGACGGCTCTGTGCCGCTGTCCAGCGGGACACGCTGCGGGTGGTGATCGACCACAGGGACAACCCTGCCAGCTCCACCGGTGCCTTCGAGCTCATCTACAAGGAGGTACGCTGGGTGGGGGTGGGACACAGCGCAGGCACCCTC